AAGGTCTGGTCACGCTTGGGTTTACCTAGGTGGGATTTAAAGTAGAGAGAAAATCTGTGCTTGCGTGTGTGTGTGTCTATAGGTGGTGGTATCATTCTGCAAGCCATAAGAGCAGGGAGAAATTACCTGCTGAAAGAGGAAGGAGAGAGCAGAACGGACCGATCTGAACAAGACCGATGCTCTCCATCTTGAGCTCGGATGCTACTGTCAAAATCTTCACACATTACCACACCAAAGCATCTTTGCAAATTGTATTCAGATCAATCTCTGACTTACAACAAAGTGCACTACCTTTTTTAAAAGAGTGAATTTGGTTAGGATTTTACAGCAACTTGGTCTCACATCTGCCTGTAATAGTAATGTGTTTTACTCAATCACGGCATGTTGCTGAAGCAGTATACTTGTTGAAACTGGAATAACATCCCTATCAAACAAATATAAACCAAACCTTACCCCAGCAATAATCTAGGCCCAAAATCAAAAAGAAATTTTAATCCCAGTCCTAATCCATCCCAAACAAAGGCCCTGTCCCGAATGTCGCCTTAAGTTATTTCGGTACACTTTTATGTGCACACTTTTGTAACGTAATTCCATATATTGACTGTTGGGTATTGTGGATTATTGTAGCAGTAGTAGTCTCAGCAAAAGACCACAACTTCTTATTATGGCTGCGAAGAGAGTGTAATGAAACCTATCACAAATGGGATGAAATGCATAATTTGATACCTAAATATCAAGTTTTTCTGCCACTAGAAAGGAAAGTAATGTCTATGTCGAGAACAGCCATCCTATCAACCAATCAGATTCTTGTTTTAGAGTTAAGGCTGGGGCCTTGAATAAGATTCTCACCAAACAATGATTTCCTTCTGGGTTTTAGTGATCGGGTAAGTGTATGTTTATTTGAGGACAAAGGATGTTGCTCCAAGAACATGTTTAGACTTGAATGCAAGGGTCTATGTCCAAACTGCGTCAAAATGTTGTTGACGATCAGCATAACTATCACTCTAAGCATTTCTTCTCTTCATCTTCCCCTCTTATCTTGACAAAACAGTCTCTCAGAGCATAATTTGACCTAACTTAAGTAAGTCAAGCTCACCGGAATGCTAGGCAAGCCAGAATGATGACAGAAAACAAAAGAAGTCTTTGGGAGAGTTAATGACTGCTTTTTATGGCCTCTGTGCCGTAAAGGCAGTGAGTAAAAGTGTAAGTGCATTGGCAGGATTCCTGCGTAAATGTACCATGATGGGACTGAAGGTAGACTGAGGTCTCCTGCTCAGACTGATAAAGTAGAAGAGGAGAACAGAGCTTGTTTGTGTGGGTGCAGGAGTGCTGTTTCCACAGCTGGTCTTAAGAGGAAGAGGGCAGGGAATGAAAAACAGAACGGCGTGCAAAAAATGGCACCAAGCACAAAACAGTAGGCCCAAGCCAAATAGAGTGAGGTCATAGCTCTGCAAACGTCATGTGAGCAGCAAAGGCTGTTTGAAAAGAACAGAGGTTCTGTTTATGTGTTTGCACATGGTTTTATTTGTATTATGTTGATATTTGGGTCACTGACCAATTAAAAAAGGCAAAATACTTTAAAAATCAAACAATAAACATGAACTAACCTTACCTTTTCCATAAGGTTAAAAAATCTGCTTTTTCGTTACTTAATAGCATACGCAAACAGTCATAAAGGTCTACAAGGGTCCACCTATCAAACAAATATAAACCAAACCTTACCCCAGCAATAATCTAGGCCTAAAATCAAAAAGAAATTTTAATCCCAGTCCTAATCCATCCCAAACAAAGGCCCTGTCCCGAATGTCGCCTTAAGTTATTTCGGTACACTTTTATGTGCACACTTTTGTAACGTAATTCCATATATTGACTGTTGGGTATTGTGGATTATTGTAGCAGTAGTAGTCTCAGCAAAAGACCACAACTTCTTATTATGGCTGCGAAGAGAGTGTAATGAAACCTATCACAAATGGGATGAAATGCATAATTTGATACCTAAATATCAAGTTTTTCTGCCACTAGAAAGGAAAGTAATGTCTATGTCGAGAACAGCCATCCTATCAACCAATCAGATTCTTGTTTTAGAGTTAAGGCTGGGGCCTTGAATAAGATTCTCACCAAACAATGATTTCCTTCTGGGTTTTAGTGATCGGGTAAGTGTATGTTTATTTGAGGACAAAGGATGTTGCTCCAAGAACATGTTTAGACTTGAATGCAAGGGTCTATGTCCAAACTGCGTCAAAATGTTGTTGACGATCAGCATAACTATCACTCTAAGCGTTTCTTCTCTTCATCTTCCCCTCTTATCTTGACAAAACAGTCTCTCAGAGCATAATTTGACCTAACTTAAGTAAATCAAGCTCACCGGAATGCTAGGCAAGCCAGAATGATGACAGAAAACAAAAGAAGTCTTTGGGAGAGTTAATGACTGCTTTTTATGGCCTCTGTGCCGTAAAGGCAGTGAGTAAAAGTGTAAGTGCATTGGCAGGATTCCTGCGTAAATGTACCATGATGGGACTGAAGGTAGACTGAGGTCTCCTGCTCAGACTGATAAAGTAGAAGAGGAGAACAGAGCTTGTTTGTGTGGGTGCAGGAGTGCTGTTTCCACAGCTGGTCTTAAGAGGAAGAGGGCAGGGAATGAAAAACAGAACGGCGTGCAAAAAATGGCACCAAGCACAAAACAGTAGGCCCAAGCCAAATAGAGTGAGGTCATAGCTCTGCAAACGTCATGTGAGCAGCAAAGGCTGTTTGAAAAGAGCAGAGGTTCTGTTTATGTGTTTGCACATGGTTTTATTTGTATTATGTTGATATTTGGGTCACTGACCAATTAAAAAAGGCAAAATACTTTAAAAATCAAACAATAAACATGAACTAACCTTACCTTTTCCATAAGGTTAAAAAATCTGCTTTTTCGTTACTTAATAGCATACGCAAACAGTTATAAAGGTCTACAAGGGTCCTCTATTTTTCCTATTTTTTTAATAATTACCACTTTTGCACATGATTTCATCATTTAAATATTTACGTGACAGTACAGTAAGTTGTGTGGCGTTTTGGACTTTCTTTACCTGTCAGTTTAAACGCATTTTCAGTCCATATGTAGCGTTACAGCAGTGGCACTCTCTTCTGCTGTGACTGATGGAGTTCTAGGCCTCTTCCATCAGGCCAGCCAAGAGGAGAGACACGGGTGAAGTCATCTCTACATTACCGCCCCCCCAGGGGACCCAGTTTCAGAGAGCGGCACGCTTCTCATATTCCGTCCCTTCCATTCGCACGCATACGGTATCATGCCACCCCCAACGGTGTGAAACAAACCAACCTTTATATCACTGAATGCACAGTATGAGACGTGCCCCAATTTTAACGCCTCCCAAAACCCCCTGGACACACTAACACACAGACACACATTCTGCTGTCTGCGATACCTTCGTTAAATTTTCACACATCTCCTCCCATAATGTGTGGCAGGTGGAATAGACCATTCTCTTGAGCGGGGAGGTCTTCTGCTGCATATCTTGGCTATTGTGTACATTAATAATATATATACAGTATATATATATATATATCACCGTATTTCAATACTCCTCTCAAGATAATGAAATTATATTATGCACAAGCAAGATTTTGGTTATGCATCCCTAACAAGCTTGGAGAAACCAAACTGCGATTCTTTGAAAAGAAATAGAACGTTCTACTCCCCATGATGCTTTGCTCTCCTATCCTCCCGTCGTTCCTGCGGTTACATGTGTCAGGGGTGATTAAATGCCATGGAAACAAGACCTTGCTGTCAATCATATTCCATGCTGAGCCTACCCCAATTGATATTCACCATTATTATATCAGTATGCGGAGCGAATTGTCCAAACAGACTTAAAACAGTGGAGAATTCACATCAGCTTTAGTTTTTCATCCCATCTCGCTTGCTAGCTGAGGCAGGACCACCCACCCACTCCCGTATTGTATTACAGACACAATATTAGCGTGCATGTGTGTGTGCATGTGGGTTTTTGTGTGTGCATGTGCTGCCGTTTGTGCAACAGTCTTCCAAACTGTCGCAGACTCAATTATGTGGCGGCACAAGCCAATAGCTTTAGGGTTGAAATTATATTTTGAGGAGAACTGGAGCATGCATGTGTGTGTGTGTGTGTGTGTGTGTGGAGGCGACACTTGTTTTTTTTCATACTATAACTGTTGTTCCACTCACAGACTGTCAAACCGACATGTAAAGGGTATCACCATCTTCTGTCATTCATATGCAGCAGTTTGTCTGCCCCTTATTAGCTCTATAACATGCACGCATCATGATACATTACTCATCATTAGAGCTCAGAAAAAGAAAAAAACAGGACACTTTTGTAGATGTAGAGTATTATAAGTGTCACTGTGCTAGTATTATGTGAATTTTGCATCATCTCATTAATATTCATGAGCCAGGCTAGAAAGGTTTACAGTGTTGTCCCCTTGGCATTTGAGATGTGTTTGTGCTTACCTCCTTGTATTTATAATTTTACTAGGGCAAATCACACATAAAGCTGGCTACTAATCCCCAATGATATTATTCATGAAAAATATTTTATTGTTTTATTTATTATTTTTATATTGATTCAGTTTAACTGATTAACAAAGTGTTTGAAACAGTATATATAATCTAATCAAAATTGATGTTATTTTCCTCACAAACTGCGTAGAATGCCACACAGGAACACTACCTAAATCAAATGATTGTTTTGAAGCAGTTTATTGTACATGTGTTTGTTTGCAATATGTTGATATTTGTGTGATTGGCAAAATTGCAAAAAGGTATACTTTTAACACACGCAGACATTCACTACCTAGCCACTGTTTTTGACAGTTTTAAGTAAAAATATTTATAATATTTTAAATGCAAGTTATAATATTCAGAACCTGTTCATTGAAACAAACTGAATGAACCGACTTTCTAAAATGATTGTTTAGTTATGTTTAGTTGAACTGATCATTGTGCTTCTCTCTCTGTGCAGATATGACTATGTGGAAGTGAGAGATGGAGTGGATGAGAGCGGCCAGCTGGTCGGGAAGTATTGTGGGAAGATCGCTCCCTCTCCTGTGGTCTCCTCTGGGAACCAGCTCTTCATCAAGTTTGTGTCTGACTACGAGACTCATGGTGCTGGCTTCTCCATCCGCTACGAGATCTTCAAAACGGGTGAGTAGAAAGAAAAAGAAGGTGATAGGCGAATATAAGCTACAACAGCCCCACAGTGGATTTTAGAGCCATAACTATCATTTTATAATAAGAAGGATACATGGAAGGTAGGAATTCACTGTAGGGGAGCACAACAAACATATAAGGAGAGATGTAAGCGAGGGAGAGCACTGTCTGTTTTCTCTTTGTCAATCCCGGTGGGAGAGCTGCTGGCGGAGAATAGATCAGTTGATAACGCGCACTTGTAGACCTTCAGGGTCTCTCGTTCTGGCATTGTCTGGCCTACAGAGACACACACAGATACACACTGAGGGACCGTTGGTCTTATCTGGAGATGTCACGGCAATAAGCAGAAATTTCCTGTTGTTCAGATCTGTTTCCTGTGATTGAGGTAGGGCTAGAGACTCAGAGAAAGCGTGTTTGCGTAACCTCGGACAGGTGCAGCACACAAATACTGACCCTGGGCTGCCCCCGAGTGTGACCTCAGGATGAGATGGATGATCCAGGGGGGTTTATTTTAATCTTTATTTTCCGGTTGTGTGTGGTCATTCCCATAGACAAGAAAAATCACAAAGGACATCTCTTTAATATCTCAATTTTTTTGACAGCAATGAGATTATATGGTGAGAGACTTTTGCAGAAGTGTCAATAATGTCCCAGAAATATGTTAAAAAGCATGATAAATACAGTAAAAACAGTCATATTGGGAAATATTACTACATTTTAAAATAGCTATTTTCTATGTGAATCTCTGTTAAACTGTAATGTATTTCTGTGATGCGCAGCTGTATTTTCAGCATCATTCCTCCAGTCTTCAGTGTCACATGATCTTCAGAAATCAGTATAATATGCTGATCTGCTGCTCAAGAAACATTTCTGATTATTATCAATGTTGAAAACAGTTGTGCTGGAAACAGAATTTTCAGGATTCTTTGATACGTTGAAAGTTAATAAAAACATTTTTTTTTTAATAGAAATTTAACAATAAGTAACAATAAGTCTTTACTGCCACTTTTGATAAATGTTATGCATCACTGTTGAATAAAGTATAAAAAAAACTTTGAATGTTAGTGTATATAATAAATTATATTTCTTCATTTATTCATATGAAGTTTATTTGCAAAAACAGATAACTTTTAACATAACATTAAGATAAGTTTTTTTTTCCAAAAATTGTTTTTTTTTATTATGTTATCATGTTTTTATTGTGTTTTATTGTGTTAGTTAGCTGTAGATAGTTAGTTGAGATTAATTGGAATGCACAATGAAAAAAACATGATTTTTGAAAATTGATAAAAATGGAGTTATCTGTTTTTGCAAATGAACTCTACATATATTAACATATTGTAATTTATATTTGTATTATGTATTATACTTTCAGGAGAAAAATCTGAGACAAAGTTGATACTTCACAGAACGCCATTGAGAACTCCTGAGCTATAAAAGAGCAACCCCGGAGGTTCCCATCCCCGCTGTTGCACCTCCACACACTTTGGCCCATCAATAACATCAATAAGTCTCCCACAGTATTCCATTATCTCAGTGCTGGTTTTCTTAAACTCATCTTCTTGATGTGTCTGATTGGAAATAAGGTTCCTCTGGAGAGAGCAAAGACGTCTGAAACATATCGACTCTGTGCAGTCAAGGGGTCGAGCAGACGCTCTCGGCCAGGATGGGCGCCCTCGTGTAGGGTGTGTTCCTCCAGAAAACCCTCTTAGTTTATCAGCATGGGTGAGCCGCAGGATCCTGTGTGAACGACAAATACTGTTGTTTGCAGTCCAGGACATGGGAATTTGCTGTGACCAGGCAAACTCTGCAGAGCGTACGTCAGCCTTATCAATTAAAGACAGAGAAGGACAGCGAGAAAGCAAAGGAAAGAATGTGAAAAGCAATAGGAAGAGTGACGGATGGTGAATAAAGAAAGGGAAACTGATTTGAAAGCCTTGTCAACACCATCTGATCTGTGTGTTTATGACATACAAGTAAAAGTAATGATTACACACAGGTGTTGAAACAGGTGTGCAGGTATTCAAACGTGGGATGATTATAAGAATGTAACACCGTTTAAAATGAGATTATACTCATTTCAAGCTGCTGCTGCTACATTTGGAGAGGTAAGCTGTGGATTAGAGCAGGTTTCACACACATCCGCAGCGTGTGGGCTGAATCGCTAGAAGCAGCAGTACTGCAGAATGTCTAATTAAAGATACACAGTGTATTTTGTGAGTTTTATAGAGCTCTCAGATGGCTAGACTTTCAGAACAGGCATCTTCAACTTCAGCTGCTTATACAGTATATGTTTTTAAAGCAATTAGCCACGAGGGAATATGCGTTACAGTGATTTTACTCTGCCCTGTCCTTAAGAACAAACTGTGGTTATATCAATTTAACACGCGTATTGAGTGGTTTAATGCTTTTATAAAATGCCAGCAACAGCAATATGATAAAGAATAATGGCAGTATTCACTATAAACAATATTTTCGGCAAGCAATATACTTCTATAGATAGATAGATAGATAGATAGATAGATAGATATTTTTTTTTATTTTAAGTTTAGTTACAGTAATGCAAAACAAAGACGGATGGAGTAGCAGAGTAGTGAAATGTTCCCAAGCTTTAATATGTAATATTTATTCTTTTGGAATGCATATAAAGAATAATGGGGAAGACTTTAGACAAGCAACGAGGAGGGAAAAAAACGAGAGTACTGTAGAGAGCTAATTCGAAGACTACAAAGAGTGAATAAACAGAGAACACAAAAGAAGAGAAGAATCTATTCAGGAAAAAAGTGTGAAAGTGACAAAGAAAGTGAGGGAGAGAAGATGAGGTGAAGAGAGGGCGAGAAAGCCTGGGAGCTACACACACACACACACACACATACACACACACACATACACAGGAAAGATAAGAGATGAGAATCTCTCCACCACAGCTATCTATGAATGCAATCAAGCCTGACCCAAGCACTAACCCACACTGGACAGCATGGATATCTAACGAAGAGCCGTCCTCAGGGGGCTTTCAGACCGCTACGGTTTCATAGACACCATGTTCTTTCTCTCAGAGTTCCCTTACACCATCCTTAACAAGGGGCTTTTAGATGATTTTTAGTAACTTGCGTATCCCATCCGTAAAGAAGAGGAGTCTGTAGTTATCATGTCATCCTGTCTTGCCGTGGCTTTCCCAAAATGGCCTTTCTTAGGGTTGAAGGAGACATGAAGTTTTAGTTAACAGCTCTGCAATTTTCAGAGCCACATCAAGTGAGAAGAGAGGCTGATGTTTCGCAAGTGGGGTGGAAGGCGTGGGTGTGGGATAGAAGGATGGAGAAGTAATTTATCCTCGCTCAGAGTCAGTGTAGAAGGAGGGGACCGTGGAAGCCTGTTTCCACCTCTGAGTAAAAAACAAAAGGTAACTGTGAGAATAAATAGGAAATTTTCTAACATAAAATCGCAATTAGATGAGAGATAATGTTGCATTTACCTTTTGAAAACGGGCTTCCATATGACATGCACCACTAATAGAAAGATGAGCGCTTCATGTAGCAGCTGTAGGAATGAACGTCAAAATGTATGTTACTGTTGCAGATTTTATTGACTTTTCAAGTAAACAGGAACTCTTCTTGTGCATCCAACCCAGGTTCATTGAGAAAACATGCTAATGCAAAATTATATTACATTGGTTCTTGCATGTCACTTTTAGAGTGGCTTTAATAGTCTAAGAGTCTTTAGTTTTATATGAAATAGATGAATGTGAATCTGGCAAAGTTCACATCAGCTCAGAAATCAAATGGCCGGTGAGTAGCGATAAAATACTTGCATTTGAAAATAATGTATACATTAACATAAGATAAAAACACATTTGCTGAAGCAACCATGCCACTTTATCTTGTTTCTGCAAGTCTTTGAGCTCTTTTATTGTGACTTGTGTTTCACAGGATTTGTACCCAAGCACTTCGTATTGCAAGTGCAATGCTGTACCGGGTGCGCTACAGAGCAAGTTTACTACAGCAGAAAAGCCATACATATGGAGCTGTCATGTCAAACATCAAAATGTATTAGTTTACAAATCATGCACTATGTTGAGTGTTTTCAGGTCATAACATAGTATTGTGCAACGAATCATTTAAAAAGTTTTTATTAATCGATAACCTGCACCTGTAATTATAATTTGTGTGAAAAGGAATAAAAGTGGTTGATGTTTTACTGCCACTGGTGTTCATTTCAGTTGGAAACTACAGAGAATGGTGTGTGTAAAGTATATAGGTACGCTTTTGGAGTGCTACATTTTTCAAAAATGTAGATAGAGGCACATTTTTCCAATGAACCCATGTGTGTACTTAAATAGCTGCATAGCCGTTTCCAGCGAACTGCCTTGAAGTCATACTGAAAGTTTGCGTCATCATCATCGCTAACTCATGTCTAGGCCATTCATCATTGAGATGTTATCTGAACGTCTTTACGATGGCACCTGTGTCAACACAGTAGGACAAGGATTGTGTGAGGAGGGCAGCTTGTTCATTGTGTCCAGTTTAGTTGTCTTTTACAAGTTTAGTTGCTTTTTTACAGGCCAGTGTCATAGGTCACATCTGGCACGGCAAGCATGTCATTCTACAAGCCCGTCTTCTTAATAAACCCCCCTACATTAACACTCAGAGCTAATGAAACCCAAGGCAAAAACTGTCTTTCTGTTCATTGCCCGTTCTCAAGGGGAACCATCAGCCGTGCTGGCTGGCTAAATGATGTGTCAGCAACTGGAGATTGTAAGTGTGCGTGTTTGTGTGTTCAGGGTAACCCCACAGCTGTGACTCCAGATTAATGTTTGTTGGAAAGTGTGGCCAAATTTTGCTTCTCAAACTCTCATCGCACCCATTAACCTGTCTTAGCGTAGCCACGGGGGTAAACGGCAAGGAAAGGTGTGTGTATGTGTGTGTCCAGATGAATTATTCTCCCTGCAGATATATGGAATATAAACAACAGCGATTAGCTCACTAGACCCAGAACACCTCCAGCCATTTCATTTCTGTTTAAGCATTACACAAACTTTGTCGTACGCCAAGGGATCTAGTAATATAGATCTCTTAGCGTTAACATAGCTGTGTCAGCTTAGGTTTTCAGTACTGTGTGCAGTGTAGCTCACAAACTACAAAAAATGATAGCGTTTATAGAGAACCCTTAGATAAAGTAACAAGAACGGATACATGTATTTTAGTTGTATTTAAAAAATGTACAAAAACATAATTGATTCAAATATAATGTCTAAAAGAGAGGGATACAGCTTCAGTAATATCTAGTTTTGGTACATTTTCAGAAGAACTAAAGATAAAAGGATAATTTCTAAATGACGGCAATGTTTAGACATGTTGTATTGTTAGATATACATCACTGAGGTCTCATGGGGAGACCCCAAACGTAACAACAGTAACAACAAGTTAATCTCAACAGAACATGAGGATTAAATCTCTGACACTTTGCTGGGTTTGTTTGCACTACCTGCAAGCGATCATTTTAACAAGCATTACCTCTGGCCTGTTAAATAAACAGCATATTCCACAGAGGCGAAGCCATCAGCCACTTCACCGCATTGAAAAGATAAGCCCTGTGTATATATGTTAGTGCGGAAAAGCAAAATAAATCGTACAAAAGCTAGCCGTTAATGTCAGAATTAGCGCTTAGCTGCTATGAATCAAGCCTGTGTTTTTTCAATACCACTTCACTACTCTCTCATAAATTCTGGTGTTTAAGTGTAAATTCAGTTCAGAGCGACTTGAAAGTATTTGTGGCTGTGAGCGGGAAGAAACTGAGAGAGAAAGCTGGATGACTCTCACAAAGCTTTATTTGTTTGGCTTGAGTTTACAGGCTTGAAGCTCCCTCCCGTTTCTCATCTCAGTTTTCCCCAGTCTTTCTCTTGTAAAGTTTTTTTTTCCCAACTACTTGCAAATAACTGCAGAAACAAACCAAGAGACATGGGAATGTGTGGATGTTTTAAGCATTTGCGGTTAGCGACAATAGCGACATGTCTCTGAATCCATATGAGACATGCATAATCACAAACGCACACACATATAAACCTTAGAATCCCACCGCAATCTGTAAACAGCAGTGAAGCATTACAAAGCCAGTCAAAGTGAAGAGCCGCGAAGCTACACTGTTAGTGGACCAACAATTCTCTATAATATTTCACACTCTATATTTACGTCATCCACAGAGAGGCACTAAAACCTCACAAGTGTGCCAATAACACATTGTAAACAATACTTAATATGTATTCTTGCATTAGTATTCAATGGGACGACCATCAAATGTCATCAAAAATAACTAAACAAGGAAACTGAGCAGTGATACCCACTATAGCACCCCTTTATGGCAATGCTGTCAATCGAAATGGATTCTGACATATTTCTGAATTCAACGCATTTGCTTTCATGTTCTTGCTTCGAGTATGTTCTGGGTTGTTTTGCTAAAAAAGATAATGTTATAGCATGCACTTTATAAATAGAGTGAGAATTGGTGCAGAGGAAATGTGCTCTTATCTTGCAAAAGAAAAATGCAATTCCTTCTTGCCCGTGGAACAGCCACACAGTATTTTTCCTCTGTGAGAAAATTATCTTAAGAATAGTCTACAGAATTGAGTGTGTCTATCTGTTGATGCTGGGACTTATGCAACTTTCAAAAATTAAAGATGAAAGTTGCAAGTTTTTGGCTCCATCATCAAATAGTTCCTTTGACTTTCTTTATAAGCCTACTAAGCCTAGTAACTTTTATTTCAGCTTGGAAAGTTTCAGAGACACTGATTGCTGACCATTCAGCTGACAGTTTTCAACCCTAAACCCCAAAGTGTTTGTGCAATTACCCTGTCCAGTCCATGTGACACCTTCTCCTCATGTGTAATTGCTGACACCCTAGGTTTCAGTAGATTAGAACGGAGGCCTGTAGAGTTCGGGAAGGCCACGTTCATTGACTGCAACTTTTTTTTCTTATTTATGAAAGAAACTGTAATATTAAATGTCTGGAATGTTAAAGCTCTGTGAAAAGACTAAAAGTGTGGAATTTATGTCCTGCTGTTTAAAAAACCAACCAAGTAGTGCACTAAATGTCAACTCACTTTAGCTTCAAATTCCCGTGCTGGTCATTTTCTTTAGAGCACAGGAAAAATGGAAAAGAAATTAAAAAGAAAGATAAAAAGAAGCAGTTAACAGGTTTTGTGGTAGAGTTTTTGATTACATTAAATTATGCACCCAAGGTTCCAAAATAACAAAAAATGCTCTTCAACACCACTTTAAAGCTGCGAAAAAATTCATTTTTTTTTCAATAATTGTTCCATCCATTGGAGAGTTGTTTGTTAGACTGTCCATTTATAATATTTAAAAAGGTGTAGTTCACCTAACAATGAAAATTCTGACATAATTTACGTTCCATTGTGTCAAAGCCCATATAGCTTTCTTTCTGTCATAGAACAAAATAGGAGATATGTTGTAGAATGTCCAAGCTGCTCTCTTACACATAAGAAAAGTGAGAGTTTTTCAATAAAAAATGAGTTACATTTTGATCTGTGGCTTTAGAAGATGATTTAGAACAGAGGTTGTACAAACCATTTTAATGATGCACCATGGTCCCCATCCAATTTTTATGCAAGAAAGCAGTTTGAGAGTTCTTCAAGCGTTACCCTTTTGTATTCCACTTAAAGAGGTAAGTAATATGGGTTTGGTTTTTAGCCACAGTGACATCCTTATTTGTCATCTCTGTTCTGGTTCATGATCTTTAAACTTTTGCACCCGCAGTAATGACCACAAGATTCCATACTACATTAGGTGCAGTGCTAACGTAATGTTGAGTGTTCGTGATCCAGAGGTGATCCTATATGCATCACTCTGTAACAAGAGCGTATTTACTCTTAGAGCTCTGAGCCTATTCATCACACAACAGCTTTAGCCGAGCAACCGTTGTGTAAGTGCAAAGTAGTGATGTATGTGTGAACTTCGACAACACACTGCATCAACAAACTAGTCCACCAGGGAGTTTTGCGTAAATGTTTTGACTTGCTGCATGATATAAAAGTGTGTGTGCATTTCTAAAGGGTGTAGAAAGTGAGTTTTATAAAGTATGATGGCCACATTTTGCTATTTCTTAATTGTGTTGTTTTAAGCACCAACCATACAGCAGAGAGTGCATATGAAACATTTAATAAGTACGGAATCATATGGACTTTTACTTTCTTTTCGGTCTCGTTTCGTCTTCTTCATTAGTCCACACATCCAAGAAATCAGGCAGCAGCCGTATCCCGAGCAGGGTGGGCCTCCACCACAGCCCATAAACCATGCAATCATCGAGCAAAACAACACAGACCACCGTGTTCTTTCTTCAATGTTTGTTTTTTTCCCACCTACTCCATTTGCCTCTGTGAGCAAACAAGAAATCCTAACTTTTTCCTTCCTCTCGGTGTCCACCTCAGGTCCAGAATGTTCCAGGAACTTCACCTCCAGCAGTGGAGTCATCAAGTCGCCGGGCTTTCCAGAGAAGTACCCCAACAACCTGGATTGCACGTTCATGATCTTTGCTCCTAAGATGTCGGAGATCGTTCTGGAGTTCGAGAGCTTTGAGCTGGAGCCAGACACGCAGCCACCCACTGGAGTGTTCTGCCGCTACGACCGCCTGGAGATTTGGGACGGCTTCCCTGGAGGTGAGTCACTGGAGAGATCTGTTGCTCCAAACAGGAAAATCTGAATGTTTGAAACAAAAGATAATTTAGTGAATGATGTTTGCACATTGGTTCTCAAATACTCACACTTCAAAGGACCAGCAACAATAAACTTCAATCTACAGAAACATGACATGACATCAGATAACAAGAATGTATACTAGATCGTTACAATGTAAAATAGAGTTTACATTTTCTGAAGAAAACTTGAGTGTCCTATGCAAACCACACCAACACAATGTACTAGGTGGTTGGGAGGGGATTTGTTTTTCCACGCTGACAAAAAATTATCAAAATTTGTACAACAGCTTGTCACGGTAGGTCCCATAAAGCGTCAACTTTGTGCCTTATCTACCTTTAAAATGTGCATATTAGGACTTTAGAGTAGTAATATGTACCCTTAAGGTACTGCTTAGGGATCTTAAATAAGGTACAGTGTCATGCCTTTAAGCATACTGCCACAGTAGCAGGCTATTGCAACCTTGAAGGAACTATTTTTGCACATTTTATCTGAGATGGCACCAGTTTTATTTCAAAATTGTAAATCTGATCATATAGAAAAGTAATAGCAAACCTTTCCTCAACAAGCTGCATAAATTGCAATATAATACAGTTCAATACTTAAGATGGCAGTCTGGAAAATGAAACTAAACAATAATCAGAGCAGAAGTAATTGGGAGGGTCTCATCTTTGGCCTTCTGGAAATGGCCTTTAACAGATAAGCCAGATGGCATGACTAAATAACAATGCCGTATGATTGATCTCTAGGGGAGAACAGACGCCTGACCTCGATCCATTTGCTGTGTTTCACAAGCAAAACAAACCTCTCCTAGGCATGGCCAAGTGTCGATAAGATATTTGGACTCGCACACATACTCTTACATCCACAAATGTGATGTATAAGTGTATTTGAGAACATGTTAGTAGGAGCTCTTTATCCCGTCTCTCTGGACATTAGACTGTGGTTTGTCTCGGGCAGTTCAGGGTGAGGGACTCTGGAATGTAGACTGTTGTCATAACACCAGAAATATTCTGTTCTCCAAGAAAATTACAGTTTTTATTTGTGCGTGTGTATTTGAACTGCATATACACACCCAGAAGCCCAACAGGAAGATTTCAGCTCAAAGCGAGAAGGAAGTCTGCAAGGATCAGAGGTCTTATTCAGTTTCCACTTCATTATCGACTTTTTTCTGTTTTGACGGAAGAGAGAAGCCGTGAACAAATGACACCTTTGATCTGAGACGGAGCCTTTTGAGCTTTCTCATCAGTTAAATTTTTTTAAATTAGTTTTAGCATTCTTCCGAGGATACGTTGTGAATCTATTGTCGCAATTATGATTAAAGGAAGTCTGTTTAAATAATTGTTTTTTTAAAGGTTACACAAAGTATTTTGTGGGCAGGCCCAGACAGAATTTGCAATAATTTTCGGAATTTTCTGGATGGATTTTGAAGGAAAACAGCGGAAAGTCCTATGCTGTTTGTTTATTTTAGGTTTCCTTAATTTTTGTTTTGTGTTCCACTTCAGCAGCATGCAGGTTTGGAACAAGATAATTATGATAAATGCTGACAGAATTTTCATTTCTGGGTCAACTATTTCTTATTGGTGTCTTAAGCAAACTCAAGAAGTGAGGGGTGTGCAGAACTTTGTGAATGATGCTATCCCAAACCTACAGAGCTTTTTGTGAATCCAAAATCCATGTAGGCCTGAGGAAAGTGTAGCACCTGGGACAAAGGTTGCATGCTTTTATTTTAGACCCAGCAGCCTCTGTTGAAAAATCTACAATAAAAAGGTGTCCCACAAGTGCACGGCGACAGAGAAAGAGCCAAGAAGGAGGCTGAAGACAAGACTTTAAAGGGAAGGTCCTGGTGCCTTAGGGCCTCAGTGTAACTCGTCTCTACGGGTTCAGACACTATCTGCATTACCTGTGGAGCCACACCAATCAATAAGTGCATTAGTGTGGAAAGGCTGCGGGGCATGAGACAGAAGCCTCTATGACTTCGAGCCCTCAGCCCACCCCTCCATCACCCACTGGCCGCCCACTTTGAGGCAGTCACAGCCTGGCAGAGGGTTTGTAAAGCCGCCCTCCTCCTCCACCAGAGCAGACATGCTGGATGGGTTCATGGAGAGGCTCTTTAAAATTTCATAGCCCTGTTGAGTCATGCAGATAATCCGGATGCTTCACCACACCCAGAGCCGTCTCAACACACAAGCGCACACATTTATGCACACTTGGATGCACCCGTTTCGATTAATTCTTATGAAGATTAAGATTCATGTAAACCCGTAGATCTGTTTTATATCACACACACACACAAAGCTGGCAGATCTGTTTAATCTCTTGTACTGTAATGGGCATCTTCTCAAAGAGCCAATCGCAGTTTCTTGTTAAGCCAATATTTCAGTCATTTGTGGTAAATTTTTACATAATCCCAGATGTTTCGTGTGGTTCTTATTTTGCATTGGGTCATTAATTAGACCTTTTACTCAGGTTTTGAGATTTCATGTATATTGTAAACCTTGGGTTAATCTTGCTATTTGCATTTTTACGAGGTTTTTTCTTTTTGTTACAAATGTATTACAATTACAAATGTGTAATTTCAGTGTAAATTAAGTTTCCGTGGCTGTTCAAAGCTCATGCATAATTAATATGGCAAGCCCTGGGGCCATTTATAATTGGTTGTCTTTTGCCAAACAACTTGCACCGCAATCTACCATGGTACAAGTTTGCTTAAACCAAAGTTTAAAAGTGGCCTTAACCTGGAAAGACATGTGCATATAGTATGAAAAGCTCTTTTTCAAAACAGCTTCAAAGCATTTCCTTCTCTCAGCTGAATGTACTGCATACCTCTTCATTTACAGCCTTACTTATGTTTGGTTCCTTCCTTCTTGTCCCCTCCAACTTCTACACGTTTTTTCTTTTAAAGTGGCTTATGGTAAGTCACATTAAAGTGGCCCTGGAATGAACAATAAGTGCAGGAATTTATGGTCGCCACTGAAAACAAAAACCCAAGGTCATAGACAGGTACAAAACAGACACTATTCATTTCCATCAACAGCAAGGTGTAGAGAGAATGTTTTGTTCAGTCAATGGAGTTATACAAGGTCAACCAATCACACTGTCCTTGACGTTCACACACTTCAGGATCTGCTGTGATAGAATGGCTTGAATAGTATATTATTAAACCTATCTAATCATGCCTCTCTTTCCTCTATCTTTGTCTGTTTCCACAGTTGGTCCATACATTGGCAGATACTGTGGACAAAATACTCCAGGACGGATCATATCCTACACTGGAATCTTGGCTTTGACAATCAACACAGACAGCGCTATTGCAAAAGAGGGATTCTCAGCTAATTTTACTGTGCTGGAAAGGACAGTCCCGGACGGTAAGTCAATAGTGCAATGTTTAAAGTGCATGAAATAATTCATGAAATTAATACTAAATTCACATGAGATGAAGTCTCCAGTAATATCAGCATCCTAGAAGAGGTTGTTTATTGTGCATAACATGGATCAACATGTTAAGATCACAACATGTGTTCAAGATTTAAGATTCAGTAGTTAATAAACACAAACTTTAGATAAACTTGTCTTGCAAAAAAAAAAGAAAGTCAAATTGTTATTCTGCGAACCATTCAACCATTGGTGCTCCATAGCTGATAGAGAGGCCAGTTCTACCAGTTTTGGAAGGTGAATGAAGGGTGGTGAAACGTAATTACTTCAAAAACCTCTAGAAATTACAAAAAAATGAAATAATTAATATTAACTGTTATAAACCAGGCAAAGGTCCAGTTTTCTTAACCAAAGTTAGTATAAACTGAAAAAAAAATCTACTTCTAGAAAATCAAAACAAAAAAAATCTAGGTTAAAGGGCATCATGAGAACTTTATTTTGAGAATGTTTGTAGCCAAAGTTATTGAATCACACCCTGTTGACTAGGGTATAACCCCATATACAGATGTGTACCCACATTCACATGCAAATACAATATGATATGACATGGGAAGTTATTAAATCACCACGTACCGCTCAGCTGTGGCCCTCTTTCATTAAGTGATTGTGTTAAGAGTCATGACTCATCTGCCCTGCTTTATGGGGATTGGTTTACTCTTTTTTTTTCCAAACCAGCTCACCCAGAAGGTTCACCTCTTCACCCCAATTTAAGAAATGCTCCAACTAAACATTTAATTTCAGAACACACCACCAACCCTCACCCGCAATCACGCTATGCATTCAAAACTATCCTTAAACACTTTCTTACTCCTCCTCTGTCTGTCTTTCTCACCGTCTGTCTTTGTCACCTACCCTGTTCAACATGACAAGTAGTGGTGCTTTTGATTCGACACAAATGTCCAGTATAATTGCAGCTCATACCAGTTTAAGGTGGATACATATTGTATATATCATAAAGTGCATATTGCCATTAATGTTGTGAGCTTGAGCTCTCAGAACCCATCAAGGTGTTTACTACATCTCTGCCATCCCAGCTCATGCTCAAGAATGCATTCAGTGTGTTCACAGCAGGGGCTTTGCCCAACAGTCGCAGTCTATCAATTATTTATTGGCTCCATAAATTTACATTCTGTGGCAGCTTCTCTCGCAGTTCGACATGTTTACCAGTATATTGTGCTTTGCAGGAAGGAAAGAGATCGCCATTGGCAATAAGTCTTTATGCAAAGGATTTTGTCAGTGAACCGTCATAGATTTATGGTCTCTGCTGAGTCGGACCGAACAGTGACGGATGCCAGATGTAATCAGACGAGAGATCTGGTTGTTTTCAGTCACTGTTCTAAAGAATGAAAGGGTGGAAAGTGGATAGATGGCTTGAAGAGATAGAGAGATAAAACAGAACAAAAGAGAATGAGTAATGTTAAGATTAAGTTGAGTTGAGGTTTCAAGGGTAAAAGAGAGAAATTCATGAGAAGCACATAAAAGACTCAACAATCACTTTTGATTTTGAGTTTAGTGCTAGCACGAGTTGCTAAGCTAATGAAGTGATTTTTAATGTGCACAAAAAATACTTTTACAAATTTCTACAATATATTGGTACATTGAAAACATCTATGCTTACTCTGGTATATTTTTGTAAGGATATTGGATAAAATAGTATTAATACGTTTCCATCCTTCCATCATTATATAGGCAGTTAAACTCTCTTTTACAGTTATTTTTCAAAATGCATTCTGTGATTGGTTACTTTACAAAGAATAAATGCTGCCTTACAATTTGAACAAAAATAAGTATCTTAGACGGTATCAAAAACTTGTGCTCTCTAGGAAGGCAGATCACTAGGTTTTCAGAATTGCGTTTATGGCTCAGTGTGAATAAACAAATAAAAATACTGTCTATCTAACACGCATGTTTTCTCCATTTGCTACATGTGTTTAGTCCTGGATGTTTGGGCTGTGTTGTTTGTGTATGTGCATATCTGACCTGCTTGAACCTTTCACTGTTATATTAGGTAACACGAGCTCACCCTGTTTCAACATGCATTTCCTTACATTTAAAACTGTGTTTGTTTGGAGTCTGTGACCTGCTGTAAATAAAATAGCATGTCTCCCACTTCAGCCTCAACATTTCCCCATCCTTCACTGTCTCAGAGTCCTAAATTCTGTGCCGAAGCGTCTGGAAAAAGACCCTTGGGGGTCAAAGCATGAACTTTGCTTGTCTCAGACACACGGTCAGCATGCCTCGAAACGACTGCCCCATAACGTCACAAAACAATCAGCAATGCCCTTATCCTGGGTGGCATGGCATGAGGAGTGATATACAACCTGCTCTCCTTCCGTCTGAAAACACAGACATGCTAGAGGCGTCTCTGACTTTCCATTCCTCCAAATGCTGACGCTGGGGAAATGGCCTTCCCGTGTGCCATTTAACTGTGCACCTTCAGAAGGCACTTCTTTTATGAACCTCAAGACTTCTCTTGCCGCTGGACTTAAGAGCTTAAACTGAATGTTTTATGAATAAAGGTTTGCGTCTTAATGTAGTACACTTCCCACAGTGCTTCCATTAAACTGTGGGAAAGAAAAGTGCGTATGTTTTATTCTGGTGCTAAGAGATGGAAACCTATGGTACTTTGCCTCTGAGTGGCCCATTCCCGAGAGGAAGGCCTTATTTTGGGTCGTGATCTGGTGTATTCTTTATTTAGATCGAGAAATGACATTTTAACAACTCCCCCGCCCCTATTTTTCTCTGTACTTTCCTCAGACTTTGACTGCACTGAGCCTTTGGGTATGGAAACTGGGGAAATCCATTCCGACCAAATCATGGCCTCATCCCAGTACAACCCCAGCTGGTCTCCGGAACGATCTAGACTCAACAACCCTGAGAACGGTTGGACCCCTGCGGAGGACTCAAACAAAGAATGGATCCAGGTACTGCACGATTCACACGTGTTTACTGAAGATAGCAGTTTATTATGAGTGAGAAATGGAGGAGGGATTTGTCCTTGGCAGAGAATAGAAACTTCTGTGATATATTCTGAAGAATAGAGAAGTCGGGTCTACAGACGAAAAGTTTGAAACTCCCTCACGCTTTTATGATTTTTGAGTTAGAAACTTTCTCTAGCTGAATTCGACTGCAACTCAATCAGGCAACCTTGCAGATGCTTTTGCCACTGGCTCTCTTTCGAAGACCAGCAGCAACATCTGTTGCATTTTGCCCTTTGGTTGAAAGCCATGGAATGTTAAAACCCAAATGCACTGGTTCACTCTGGCCCCAGTGAGTCATCCTGGCCAACAGATGCTTGTAACCTTAACAAAGACTGTCTATGAGATGCATCTGGATGTATCTAACATGATCTTAATGTCCAAGAGACAATAAGAAACCTAAAACTTATTCTAAGGAATGTGGCCACACACAAGGACAGTGACATGGACAACACATTATTTGCGTGTGTATTTCAGTCGCATGAATCTGTGAAAAACATTTGGCAGGAGTCATTGTGTTGATTACACAAACATTGCAGCACCTCTGCAGGCCTTTTCTTGCACTTGGGGGCTTTTCTGTGACCCAAACCTCAAGGGTACCCTCAAAACCCAGATTTGTTTTATAATCTTTGCCTGACTGGAAAGTTTGGGCCAAAGAGACTCCTCAGGAGGCTAATAACAGACATGACCCACAGCCAAGTATTTGCTAGGGGAGGCCTGTTAAGCAGATTTTCCTTATTGCTGTAAAAATATTGTCTGTGTTCTAAACCAGAAACTAATTGAATTAGAGGACGGTGCCTCAACTTAGCAGAGAAGAGGAACCACAATGTTTGATTCTTACGCACTTGACGTACGCATTTCCTGAGGAACTGGAGGCAAGTTCTTCCCCAGTGGCTACAAATTCTGACCCACGTTTTAGGAAGAAATTCCACAAGTAGAGCCCTGAGGATACAATGTGGAGTCTGATCGAGTTGAGGATTGTAACTGTAGCCGATTTCTCGAGTGCTTTTGATCATAGTAATTCAAAGTTCTTCTTTGTTTAGATGGACTCATTATGCTTATAGATTACCAGTCTCTGTCAATATGGTATTGATCGGGACTGTTATACAGACTACAATGAACTATCCTAACACTCTACCAGGATGTTCTTTGAGAAGCAGTCGATAATTAGCCTCTACTCATTTTACAAGCCATCACTTTAAGTGAAGTATTCTCATGTTCGTAAGATGACAGTATATTTTTCAATGTTTGGCGTGTGGTTTTGACATGCTATTGTGCTACTTAGTTTTACCTTGTATCCAACCAATGAGAAGTCTTCAGAAAAGAAACATTCTGCTTATGTGGCTTAAATGAGTGGTAAAGATCAGAGAACATTTCTCTTCTAGCACCCAAACCATTTGGTTCCACATCATTTCACAGTTGCCACTTCATATTTTATTCAGGATAATTAAGTAGACTTTGCAACTGTTCACACTATTGGCTTGCTGAACTTGTTTAGTCATTTCAGATATTAATGAAACCCTAAATGACTCGCCTCCCACAGTGAGGTATCGAGCTGAAGAGAGCACAATTTTGCTGCCGCCTGGAATTCTCTAAAGGGTATTGATTAGAGGAAGGGTACTCTTTTTGGTGGGAGAAATTTCAGCAAATCAAACATATTCTGTTTCAGCCCCCATGTACCGTGCCCCTGTAAATCCCTTTCCACCAATCAGATGTCAAAGTTGAACCCAGCACATCTGTTTCCAAGGGAACAAAGGCGGAACCCCGCCGAGGATGAATGATTTATAATTTGGAGACGTCCTGCGCTAGTTCTCTCTATCGTGCCCGGCACTTGTGGAGGAGTTTAATTATAACAAGCGTTATTAAAAGAGTGGAATTCTTCATTTCGCTTCCATTAAGCAACATAACCCACCACAACAGTATTTCTCCATCTAATGGCGCAGTCCACTTGGCACGCACAACTCGCTCGCTCCTGTGTCCTCCAACGCATATTATTAGTTCATTATTTATTACATTTACACTCTCGAATGCAATTTACAGCCGACATTTATATTATTCATAGAGGCCGGTTCTTCCTTGTTAAAAATCCCCATTTCTTGCAGTTTTTTTCTACCCAGAAGGTGTCAAAAAGACAGTGTTTGTCATGCATCCTAATGCGGCTTCAAATTAGATTCAGGGTTTAATGCTCCCAGCTTGCCACTCCTGATAATTAGTCGAGGGTCAGGAGATCTTGAGCTAAGCCAGTGGGCTACAGAGGCTTGTCCGTTTACAAGGGTTCATGCCATGCTGAAAATCAAATGTCCGTTCAGACGTATGATGAATGAAAGAAGGGTCCAAGTCTTGCAGAACAGGGGAATCTGGCTCTGAAAACTTCCAGTGTACTGTGTTTATGGATACGGCCTGGTTTCAGACGGAAGACCGTGTTAAAGCATGACAATCCGAGATACCTACATCTGTACAACACATTTCAACTCTCTCTCAAGGAAAGACTTCCGATTTATAGAAGACCGTAACCTAAAACAAAAGACGATGTGAAGGTTCTTATGGATGGCAGATTTTCAGTCCCGTAGAGAGCTTGGCATAACAAAGAACAGATCCTGTTTTGGTAGACATCAATGCAGTGTGTGGCGTATTGCAAGTGATGCAATAAATGTACGCTCATCCACTCCAGGAGCATCAAAGCACTTTTATGAATTATGCATTTTGATCTGGGAAAAAGTCAACTGTCAATAGTTGAAAGCCCCTGTCTAGCTCCTAATGGTTGAATAGAAGTTGCTCATTATAGATCATGTTCTGTTTCATTAATCTCAGCCTCGCAATCATTCTCGTCCACAGGTCTACCGAAACGCATCAGCCGCTTGCGTTTATGCGGCGGTGCTTGGAATACGCAGCGGTTCATTTATAAACCCGCTGCATACGTCTGTCCTGCTGTTCTGCTAAATGCTTTGATCAGGGCTTGATTCAGGAACGCGAGGGCTTTTCTCCTTCGCATCACTGGAGAGGATGTTTACCTTCATTTTGTTCATTAAAACATCTCTGACAAGAGGTCAGAGTGTTCAAAACAATAAGGACGATGTCTTCAAGTCTGGAACTGTAGAGTGCCAACCAGGTTTTGTGTCGGCCAGTTCAACGGGAAGCCGTCAGCTTGATTGATGGAGGTGAGGAGGGAATGTGCCAGGTAGGGCTGTGACGGTCGCCGACTGTCTACTGTCACCGGCGGTAGTGCACGTGATGTCACGCACTCTATAACAAGCATAATACGACGTTTTGTATACAAGTGTAATAACAGTAATAACAGTAGTGGAACAGTGAACTGTGTCTACACCGGACGCAACACCGCCGCGTCGCAACAGGTTGAGTCTGTCTAGTGTATACACAGGACATTTGAACTCTGTGTCAGAACCTCATAAATAGAACGAGGCAGTTTACTGTCAGGGATTTGTCATGTCGTGTCGTGCCACATCCAGTGTAGCATCACTGATTATAATGAGTTATATAGTATTTTGTCGCGCAGCGCAGATTTTACTTTCTTATTTAGGCTACTTTCTTGTTTAACTGTATTATTTCTTTGATATTTATTTTAGTGTTTTGCAGGCTGCGTATTCACTGACTGAAGTGCTAAAATAAACACGAGCTGACGAGTTAAATCGGGTGTGTTAGATGAGTGAGACAGTGCTGGGCTGCTCTAGGACAGTTTTGAAAACCATTTCAGAGACATGCTCTTAAATGTGACTCATATAAAATATATTAGATGCATGCACAGTTTTAAGGCAGCTTTAATCGCCTTTTTGATAACGTAGTTTATTTCGCGCTTTGATATAAAAGGATACAGGCTACAGCGCGCCGGCGCCTTTGTGCATGCAATTGAAGAGCACGCGCTTCGAGCACAGTACCATTTCCGCGCTCGCTTGACTCACGCCTGGCACCGAAGTGAAGAGGAGCGCGTGTCTGAAACGTCTCCTTGTTCTTCGACTGAATAAGTGCACTTATTGTCAAGAGAAAAAGTGACAGAAGCAGCAGTTGTGAGTGGGGTGGCCAACCCTAGCCCCGCCCCTGCATTAATTGCGTTAAATATTTTTAACGCGTTAAACTGAAAAAATAATTGCCTAAAAATAACGCGCTAATTTTGACATGACTAATATACGTATATATATATATATATATATTTATTTATTTATTTATATCAACACCGCGCCACCGGCGGTAGTTGGTCCATTACCCCGCGGTGGTAAAAATCTGCCACTGTCACAGCCCTAGTGCCAGGGCTGTAGATGGAAACAATGATTGAGACACCACCCCACCCTCTTATTCTTATCCCCTGTGCCACTGCCTTAAGTCGCCGACCCATTTTGCTACAAAAACAGATTGGAATTCCAGGGCCATCAAGCAGGCACTAATTACAGACTTACTCTGAGAAAAAAGTTCCTCTCAGACTCTTGTATATTCATCGAGGAAGGTTGAATGTAACGAAGGATAGAGCCAGAATGAGGGAGACTTAGGGACGAAATGTCACTCCAGAAACAACACACTTGGCCATATCCTGTTTGCCTTCGCATGTCATCTACATATGCTTTCCATTAGCGATGGTCATCTAGACGCAGCTATGTCCGCTCTCCATTGTTTTGCTTAGATTTCTTTCTCTCTTCAATTAAAGGATTAGCTGCTGCTATTTTGAGACGGGTGCTGTTCTCCTGCCAGCTGATGAGTAATTAGACAGTGGGACTGTAATTAACATGAGAGTCTCTACTGACAAAGCCTGCAGAGCTGGTGTCAAGCTAGGCCACCCTGCTAGCATCACACCTGCGCTAGGTACATTCTTATGATTTAGAGTTTAAACCATCTTCAGTGCCTACATGTAATTAGCTTGAAGCGTTTAAAATATCTTCTTTGATATAATTTTCTCGCAATTAAATATGGATCCAGGTGTACGTTGGATACATTGAGCT